GCCTTACAAGGAATCAGTTTGCTCAGAGTGAGAGAGGAAAACTAAATTATTAACAATAGACTGCTTACTTTTCCATCACAAATAAACTGACCTGTGGAGGAAAAAAGGAATAAAAAAAAAAAACCATGGTATTTTGCTTTAATATTGATGCAGTATACACAAAGATAAGATGATTTTTCCCCCACAATGAGATTCTGCAAACATTTAAAGATGTTGAACTTAGTGCATAGACACCTTTTTGACTGTAACAGGCAGTGTGTGAATTTGTAAGATTTGTTTTAATGTGTGATACTGACGACTGTAAAAGCTCTATTTATAGTGAAGAATTTTGTGTGTCTGTGTGTGTTTCATGTGTTCATGTGTTGGGGTGTAATGCAGCAGCTGCCTTCCTGTCACATGCACCTTGCACCGTACATCCACATCCATCTACACACCTTACCTGCGCACACACACACACACACACACACACACACACACACACACACACACACACACACACACACAGAGCAGCTGGGTTTCTGCTCCACGTTGGTTGAACAACACATGTGTTGGCCTTCAACACAGCACAGCATCAATTCAACCAAACAGGACATCCATCACAGCTAACCCCAGAACAGCATCTCTAACACAAACACACAAACACGCATATGCAAAAAGGAGCGCACAAACATGTCCCCCATTTTTTTCTCAGACATGAGTAATTCATACATTTCTGTCATACCGGCCAACAAATGCAAATGCAACGACAGAGACAGGCTGTAAATAAATGAAATCAAATGTATCTGACCTGTTTTTAATTTGTATCTCCTCTGACTTTGCAGCACGTTACTCCTCATAAATAACATTTGAGTCCCCGTAGCAGCATTTTTGGCTTTGCTGGTCACTGGAATATGTCATTCTGAGTGGAGTGAATTTTAGTAAAATGAGACAAAACGCTAAATTTGCCCGAAACACCTCTTAAATGTGTGGCACACAAAACCCTTTGCCTCTACAGACTTTGTCTACATGCACAAAACTCCCCAAAAGGGAGTCATATAAATGAGCTTGAATTAAATTTCTTTGAATATTTAAAGAAACCTAGTTTTTACTTGGCAAGTGTTCGCTTCTTCCTATTAAAACTTTGCTAATAAACATACTATATCCTAATTTAAATTCAGTACAGCTTTATTTGTCTCTTTTTGAGCAGTTACCTCTTTTTGTTAACAGGGCCCTAAACAAAAGTCTTAGACAACAGAACAGGACAAACATTTATCTCAAACGCACTGAATGTTTCTCATGCCATAATTCTGAACTCAAAAATTTAGTTTTCAATAAAAGCTGAAAGATTTCTTTTTCATTGGCATGAATCAACCTAGCTGTACACCGCAGCTTTGAGAGACAAAGTAATTCAGATTTTGTGTTCACATATGTGACTAAGTATGTGTGAGTTTTCACACCAAAAGTAGTTGCAGTTAATTTTGGGGGCTTTGAATTCCCCTAAGGTCTTTGCGAAAAAATAAACATCTCTCTTTTGTCTCAAAAATAAACAGAGGTGTTGTGAGGAAGGTGTGAGGATGACATGGACAACAGAACACCCAGAGCTTTCACCTCTGGGGTGCAGTTCACACTGTCATGTGTGCTGCAGTGAACTGTTCCTTTTTTTTTTTATCTTTAGAAATTATTTTCACATTTTCAAACGTCCTCGTGACTCAGTATCACTTAAACACTTCTGTCTTCAAGGACTGAATTACTCTCAGATTTCTTTCTTTTCATTTAATTGTCTTGATTTTTGGTAAATCAGTTTGAACAAGACGCTTCTTTCTGGTTAGGGTTTGGTATAGGAGTGTATTTGTGTGTATGTGTGTTTGTTGGCTTATATGTGTAACTTTCTATGATGTCTTTTAAGTAGGGTCCTCAGACAGTACACAAATAATTGTGGCCCCCAAAAGGGAACAAATGCAAGAATGTGAGTGTGTGTTGAGGAGGAGGTTACAAATATCCTTTTTGCAGGTATTAAGTGTGTGTACATTCCAGTTGTGCATATTTCTGTATGTCTGAGAATGCATGTGTGTGCGTGTTTGTGTGTGTGCGCGCACAAGAGCATGCCTGCGTGTGTGTGTTTAATTGGACCTCCCTGAGCCAGTCTCCAGGTGACGGTACTCATCTGCTCTCCTCCTGATTAAGGACAACAGATGGACTGGTATCAAAACACACACACACATATACGCACACACACATACACACACACACACACACACTCAGATACACACATAACTTGCACTTGCACTTACACTTGGACACACACACACACACACACACACACTCAGATACACATACACACATAACTTGCACTTACACTTGGACACACACACACACACACACACACACACACACACACACACACACACACACACACACACACACACACGCAGAGTAGATACTTTTACAATCATGACTCATCATGCTGAACACACATACTGCTCCCATCAGGTGGCCTTTAATCAATACATGACAGTAATATATCTGCCCCCTAAAGTAGATATGATTGCATTTAGTGTAGATGCTTGAATCTTCATCACCACCACCCTTCTCCTCTCTTCATCATGATGAAATGAATTAGAACCAGCATAGTCTAATGAGATCTAAAAGCACTTCATTATCTGCTAACCTGATAATGTAACTGATACACAATTGTGATATAAGCCATGTTAAACTATGAGGGCAACTTTATAAACATCATAAATACTTACAATGTGAATAATGAATATTTTAATTCTTGCAGACTCAAAAACAGATGAAATAATGTAGATTATTTTCAATTCATAACTCTTAGAGGCTCATAAACTTGACCATGATATTCCCATAGACATACTGTATACCAGCAAATAAAGCTAATTTGACCCTTTTGTGAGATAAATGGATGATATAATTCTGCACAGATAACACCTTCAAACTTAATCAGGTAAATGAGATAATGAGAGCAAAGGATGACATGCAGCTCGGGTCAAGGAGCTGAACTGTTTTTGGATGCACCTATAATTTATTTCAGTGTAAGTTCATCAAAATGCTGTCAACTGTTGAATTTATCCCTCAATCTTGTTCTTCCCATGTTTTCTATTTTTACCCCAAACACTAAGTTTAACCCTCCTCCTGTGTTAGGGTCTGCACCAACCCATTATTGATTTTAAATGCCTGAAAGAACCACTTAGATTAGCTTTTTTACATCAAGACTTTTTGACTTTTTCAGGAACATCTATTTCAACAACAACAACACAAAATAAAATAAATTGACTAAATTATAAAATGCTCTTATTAAAATTATTGCACTTGTCGTGTTAGGGTTGCTGTTGACCCGGTTAGATCAATATCTAATAATTAGAGCAAAAACTGAAATCATATGTGCACCACACTGACAGTCAGATCCTCTTCTAATCATATGAGATTTAGGAAATTCTCAATTTGCCATGTTTTTCTCTGCACAAAAAACAACATCGTGCATGCCCAGACATGTGAGATCAACTCAGTATAGATGTCTGTATGAGGGGTACACTGACAAAGAAAGGCCCAGAGACCCACACCAAAAAAAAATTATTTGCAATATTTTTATGGATAATGAAGCCTAACAAGGTAACATAGAGATGAGAACCAAACTGGATGACAGAGAATTGTTTTTAGTGTAATTTACAGCTGATTTAAGACACAGGTCAAAACCGACCCTTAACATGGTGGATGCTTAGTAAAAACTAACACAGGAGGAAGTTTAAACACCATTACTATCAACTAAGAGACTGCAACAAATGACCTGCTACAGCAAACTTGAAAACCATCACTGTGAATCTTCTACCTTCAAGTCTTGATTGTGGGCTTTTGCAAAGTTTTTGAACATCTGTTAACCTGTCTTAGAGCACACCTGCTCCGTTAAGGCACAAGCGTAGCGTAGCTACTTTTTAATTTTGGGATTGGGATTAATTAAAACATACTTTCACACAGCCATCCTGGGCCTGGATGTTCATTTAGGAGGTCCCATGTGAAATATTAAACTTGAACACAAGGTTTTATATGGTGCATGACTTTAAAAAATTTTAATCAGCTGAACACCTTAAACTATCTCCTTATTTAACATGTACTTTGCAGGCTTTGAAACTCATTAAGTGGTATCTGTCACTCAGGAGAAGACTGGATAGGAGAGGGCTAAATGCTCATTTAACTTTATAATAATCTCTGTTGTTACATAATATTGACTAAGTCTTGTATCTTGCAGTAAAACTTGTGAGTGAACCCAGTGTGACCCTGCAGTAGATATTACCCTGCTCTCATATTAATCTTCAGTCACTGTAAAACACTCCATTTGGTCTACATCCATTCACCCTCTGGGCCACATTAATGATAATTACCCAGCTCTCAGCATGCGAGCTAATATCCCTGCACATAATCCATGTCATCAAGAAAAAACCAGATAGAAATATGCTTATTTCACATGATAAAAGAAGAAAACACTGAAAAAGTAAGTGGACACCCAAAAAATAAAGCACAATGGAACAAGATTTTAAATTCATGTCCAATGCTGCGATAGCTGAATCAGACCAGTCCTGAAAAATACACAGTAATTCCCGCTCTTATCTCCCCAAAACATGGCGATGGGCCTCCCTCTCTCTCTCCCTCTCCCCCTCTCTCACACACACATACACATATTCACGTGCGCACACAGACATAAGTACAAACTAATACACGAGCGTGCCTAAAAATGAGGAAAGAAAGGGAAAAGAAGAATAAAAGACAGAAAGAAAGAGAAAAGGTGTGTGTGTGTGTGTGTGTGTGTGTGTGTGGGGGGGGGGGGGGGGGGGGTTGATAACAGCTTCAATAAATCATCCGGGCCAGTCGCCGCTCCCCGGGGATGTGGGATGGATTAAATTAAGCACTCCCTCCACCCGTGTGTCTGTCTATCCATCTCTCTCTCTCTCTCTCTCTCTCTCTCTCTCTCTCCACCCGGTATAAATGCCAACAGCTGATCGCGAGACGGCACACACGGGAACAGCTCGCGGAAGCTGCGAAAAGACACACAGAAAGAGAAAGGTAGAGAGAGAGACCGAGGGGTAGAGAGAAGAGAGAAAGAGAGAGAGAGAGAGAAGGATACAGAAAGAAGAGGACGGGATGCTGCTGGGACTCTTTTTGTGATGCTTCACCAACGTTGAGTGAGTCTCTCCGTTAACGGGAATGAAGGACTACTTCTGCGGCACGGAGAAGGGAAAGGCTGGGTGTCCGACATTATAAAGCTTCCAAGAAAACAACAAAAAAAGACAACATTTTCTCTCCCTCTTATTCTCTTCGTTTCCCTCCTCTTCCTCTACCTCCTCCATCTCCTCTTCTTCTTCTTGAAGAGGCTCGCGAGCCGTTGCGCGCGCCACAGGGTGCCTTCCATCGCCTCTTGTTTGATTTTTTTTTTTTTTTAATTTTGACTGCTCGCGAGGCTCTGCGCGCGAGGCACCCCCCCAGGAGGGAGCTGTCCGGTGCTGAAGTTGCAATTCTCGAGGACTAAAATTGAAGACGCTGAAAAAGGCTGAAACTGAACATAAAGACGCTAAAATCGGGGGTGAACTATTTTCTCTGAACGACTCTTTGCTCGCGCTTCCTCCACAACCTGACGACAATCTTCCTCCGGTTCGCCTCCTTGTTATTGTGTTAACAGGCGAATCAGCACGCTGGCCAGGCCGCCGGCGTCTTGCTGTGTTTGTGAGTGTGTGTCGTTGTGTTTGTGACAGTGTGTGTGTGTGTGCACCACCATGCCAAGGTCTTTCCTGGTGAAAAAGGTGAAACTAGATGATTTCGCCACCGGGGCGGATCTAGAGAACGCCTACCGGCACCGGACAGACCTCAGCCTGCGGCTCCATGACAAAGGTAGGTCAGACTGACAAGACAAGCTGCATTAACAGGTGTCTCACCAACGAGTAGAGGAGGAGGGTGGCGGCGGGGAAATAAGCTCAAAATCATGTCTCAGGTGGATTCTCCTGTCTTTGGATGAGACTCTCTGACTGAGGTTGGGATGATGTCAAACTCACCCAAATGGTCGACTCAAAGCTGCAGGCACTAAACCCTCAACAGAGGACTACCAAAATAACCACCAATGGACAACAATTCACAATAGAATCCAATTATTCTTTTATTCTCTTTGTATTTCCATTTGGACAACTTTTCTGTTCCAGATTCTCCATGTAAAAACTCACACAGAGCTTTATTTGTAGGTAGAAGAGTGATGAACAGCCTATAATCATTGACTACAGCAGAGTTATCCCATTGTTACTTTCCTTTTGTGAAATAAAAACCCCACAGCCTCACAATAAGCAGCAAAACAAGTCAATCTGCATGAGTTCAAAGACTGATTCTTGTCAGAGCACTTCAGAGAAAGTAGAGCATGCACGTGCAGGATGACGGGTGATGGATGATGGACACACACACTCACGCACAACAAAACTGCCAATCCAAGAAGGCACTAACTCCCTGCAGCTCTGTGTGTGTTAGCACACCACATGAGCTGACACTTTATTTACTGTGAGGAGAAAAGCTGCAGCTCTCACAGCTAAAGCTTGATTTGAAGTATTTGGTTTTCTGCAGGAGTTAGCTGAGTTAACTCAGGAAATCAACTAAACCCAGAGTCCTGTGTTTCATCGATTCAGGTTCACACTCAGCAGAAATGGAGACTGTTTATCCATTTCTGATCCACTTTGACTGTAGTTTGTGGAATTTAAGCTTGGCTATGGTCATGAAGATAGGGGGGGACATTCTTCTAATTTTCAGACAGGATACAAACAGACTTTTACCAACAATCTCCACATACAACACCAATAAGAAGCCCTTTAGTTATCCTTTATGTAACAATGCAGTGTCCAAAGCATGACCCAGAGGTCCAGTGTTACCTGACTGCCTATATCTGACATCATGAGTGTTATTTTACCTCATGTCCAGGTACACTTCCTTCCCCCTTTTCTTATCTCAATGCACTGCTATCCTGGTTCCAACTGTGAGCACAAGCCCACAACTTTGTCCCCCTTTTCTCACTTAATAATAGAAGTAAAAGCAACAGAATCTAAATCCCATAAAGCTCCTTTTTATCCCAGGGGTGTCATTATTTCTCGACTGCTGATGACATGCACCATAACTTTGAAAAAGACAGTTTCCCATTCATCGTGAAGTGCTGCCCTGTGCTCTTGCAGCTATAAACTCCATGCGTCACATTTACTTTAAGCGGTGTAAATTATTCCACTGCAGCTCCTATCGTCCCAGTGTCACTAACACGTTGTTGCACATCGACCTGCGTTCAACCTCCCCTTGCATTTCTGTTCTTGCGAAGTTTAAAGTGTCAGTCAGCGTGTGTTTCTAATGTGGGGGTTAACAAGCCCTGCTGCTCGCGCTGACACGCGATCTGCAGCAACAGCAGCAGCAGCAACAGCAGCAGCGAGCAACGGGTGCCTGTCCCACCGGCCACCTTTTGTCTCCATCCCTTACGTCTGATGCTAACAGCTCAATGCGGATTGTACAGATCAGCTCAGCAACAGCAGGAACAAGCCCTCAGCTTTTGGAATAATTTATGTCCCACCCGTGTCACCCTCACGTGTGTGTGAGGGGGGGTCATGTGTATTCAGATGGGACGCTGTAGCAGATAATGTCTGTTACTGTGGCACACGTGCAGTGTCTGACGGAGCTTGTTGCTTTTGCACCATAAAAGATGATAAAGATGTACACCTGTAGATACACTCTGGGGAGATACTGTGAAATGTAATAATGCACATGATGAACTACCTCTCTTTTCTTCTACTTTTTTTAGAGTGAAAAATGTTAAACAAATGCACACTTTTACAGGTAGAGTGTAAAAAACTTTTGACTTTCCCTTTAACTTTGAATATTGTGCTGCAGTTTTTACTTGGTGGTCATTCAAAGCAGATGTTTCAGCAAGTCTGGACAGGCAATGGGCCTGTATTTTCTGTGCAGGTGTTATTTCTATTATGGAGAAAAGGTGACCAAAGTAGCTGTTGTTGCTACTATTGATGTTGTGTCACAGGATGTATGTGTTTTTGCTGGCCTGCAGGGAAGTGGAGTCTGCATTTAAACGATGCAGCTTTCACTAATGGAGAGTATTGAGACCATCAGCTTTGACAGCTCTGTGGATTTGGTAGATTGAAGATTTTATTCAAACTATCAGCTCACGTAGGCCAGCTGTCAAACTAAAACAGATTTAAATTAGAAAAGTGAAACTAAAAAGAGTGAGTGCTGTCTCAGGTTATCATCATCCAGCCTTCTTTTACAGTATATCTGTTGTTCCTACCAGTAGATAATGCACGGTCTTATTTCCCCGAAGTCTTGCCTCGCAGGCTTTAAACCCTGTCCTCTATTAAAAGAAAAAGTGAAGCCTGTACAACATCCTTACTATCGCTGCATAAATGCCTGCTCCACACTGGATCTGTCCATGGTGCTGATGCTCATTTTCACACTCAAGACAGCTTTCTGGAGTTCAGGGGCAGTGTGTGTGTGTGTGTGTGTGTGTGTGTGTGTGTGTACGTTTATCTATTGCAGACGAAGCATTTTAACTGTAACCTTTGAGACCTGAGAGGGGTTTTATTGCTATTTAATCTCTGCACTAATTCAGGCTTATTTTCAGTTTCACACTCCACCACAGGCCACAGGTGTGAAGAGGAGAGACAGATGTTATGTGACAACAGACTTTCATAAAGTTACTGTTGAAAGCTGGCAGCTCATTCAAGTTTTTAACATCAGAATCTTAGACAACTCTTACTACTTATATCTCTTCTACTGCAAAAAGAGACACATCTAAAACCACATATTGAACAAAAATAACCAAAAAGTGCTGATGAAGGACCAGGTTTATGTGCATTTATTATGTATATTTGATTGTGACTGTGTTTCTACCTTTTTTTAAATTTAAGATATAGAAACACGCCACCTGTTGTGTCAGCAATCTTGTTCAAGCATAGCACTTAGTAAACAACTTTATTGTGTTGATGCATGGCTATATGAACATGTGTAGTCTTGTTTGAACAAACCAGCTGTTTGGAATATTTATGTCAACCTATCATGTCTGATTTCTATAGCAGTCAGTGAACCCTGGCTGTGTGCAGACGCAAAAACAAAACAACATGATCAATCTGTCGCAGCTGAGGTATATAAGTAATAAAGATGTAAACACAACTCAGTAAACTGTTATTTTAATACAGACACAGCAAAGCTGGTCAGTGAACTGATTCCTGTTTATTGTCTCTGTGAAGACAGATAAGCTGGAGGAAAGAGGACTATCTGATTTCACTTTATTCTTCCTGTCCAGCTGCAGTGGGCTAATGGCGTTAATCCAAACCCTTATTTCTCTGTTCGACTCTCATGTGCAGGAGTGCATGTCTATTCTAATTCTTACTCGTATATAAACTGTCTACCTTTTTGCCTTTCAAGATGGCTCTCATGGAGTATGTTTCTCACATGTTTTAAGTTACAGTAGGGCCAAATCTGGCCCGTGGAACAATTATATGTGGTCCACAATATCATATCATATTTGTATTATTATTGGCCCACCAGTATGAAGTCTGCAGATTTCCTCCAGTATAATAATGTAAACTTTAGCACCATTATTTAAAATGTTCTGAATAAACCACAAAAATCTGGGAAATTAAAGAGTAAGGAAGATTTGATAAATAGTCAAGAATGTGGGGGAAAATATTAGATGTTTTATATCATGTTTTCAATTTTGCATTTCAAGATTACAAGTCAAACATGATTGGATTTTTTATTTCATGCTTTGATTTTGTTCAACTAAGTATTTAGACTTTTGTCATTTTTATACTTTAGATTTAAATTTTAAACTTTAAATCATATTTTGACCTTTTAAACCTGATTTCAACTTTCTCCTCATGTATTTGCTCTTTAAAAGCAAATTTTTTCTATGCTCTGATCTTTTGAACTAATAAATAAAAATAGAATAAAAAATAAAAATAAAATAAACTTTTCTATCTCAGATTGCCTTTAAACTTATCTTTTTATCTTCTTTGAATTTCCAAATGATTTATAATCATTGCTGTTTTTGTTGCATATTTTTTGAAAAGGAGGTTGACAGTTTTGGCGAAATGTTGACCCTGTTTGACCCTCAGGTTAGACCTAGATCCAGATTATGGCACTTGCTGTGGTTGAGTTTGACACCCCTGACATAGAGGACAAATATTAAGGATTTGAAGAAATTGAATCTGTGCAGAATATTTCTGATACTTTTAAAAGTTTTTCTGTAACTTAATGTTGTTTTTCCTTTTTCCATGCCAGCTGGCTACATCAGTGACTACATCAGCCCTGTTGTGTATGATGGAGAGAGCGACAGTGGGATCAAGGTGCCCTCCCCTGACCCCCTCTACGATGGCATCCACAGTGACTATGGGGCCCCTGACTCTGAGTCCCCTGACAGTCCTGGCTCTGAAATCACCGATGGCTACATCAATGGGGACGCTGCAGTGAGCGAGGGTTACACAGTCGACGCCTTCTTCATCACCGACGGCCGCTCGAGAAGGAAATCTCTCGGCAGCCCCAGGACCATCCAGAGGCACACCTGTAACGAGTGCGGCAAAACCTACGCCACGTCTTCCAACCTGAGCCGGCACAAACAGACACACCGCTCGCTGGACAGCAAGCTGGCAAAGAAATGTCCCACCTGCGGGAAGGTGTACGTGTCCATGCCTGCCATGGCCATGCATCTGCTCACACACGACCTCAAGCACAAGTGTGATGTGTGCGGGAAAGCGTTCAGTCGGCCTTGGCTTCTGCAGGGCCACATGCGCTCACACACGGGGGAGAAGCCATTTGGATGTGCCCATTGTGGGAAGGCCTTCGCAGACCGCTCCAACCTACGTGCTCACATGCAGACCCACTCGGCCTTCAAGCACTTCAAGTGTAAACGCTGCAACAAGACCTTCGCGCTCAAGAGTTACCTGAACAAGCACTACGAGTCGGCCTGCTTCAAAGGCCCCTTCTCTCCTCTAGGCCCCCTAGATGCATGACCCCTTACACCGATAAAACAAGAGACCAAACTGCAGACATGAATTACCAATATCTTTACACTCTAAACTGCAGACACAAACAATCTATTTTTGCTCAGAATATGACCTTGCCTCCCCTCCTCCCCCTTTCACCCCTTCCCCTGCCACCTCGCTTTCCCTTGGAGCCTATTCATGAAGATGAAGATGATGAAGATAGCACAATTTTTTCTCCTTGAGATTTGCCCACTTAAGGATTTAACTGAACTACGCATGCACTTCCTCAAAAACTGATCACCTCCTCTTTCTCTGTCCATCCTGGGTAGAGACACTAATACTAACACGGCTTCTTCCTGGCATCTAGATACAGAGTGGCATCGGTTGTTTTGGAAGAGAGATGAAGATGAGGATGACGACAAAGACAATAGTAAGCCTATCACTACTGCACTGAGATGCAGTGAAAGATTTTTTTCTTCTGAATTTGTTTTTTGGGGGAATAATAGTAATAATAACAATAGTAATAATAATGATAATAATAATGTTCTGCTGCACCAAGTGACCATATTCTCTCCACGACTGAGGTAAAAAAAAAGTTTTATTAATTTATTTATTTATCTATTTATTCTGACATTATTTATTTAATTATTTGTATGTTTTTACTTGATTTGATATGAATTGAAAAGGTTAACTTATTTGTTGCACTTTAATTTCTATGTATGTACGTAGGATATTTGCCAACCTCTTTCTATCACAACAGGCCAAAGCATATGTCACTTTTTTTGATTATGATTTTTTTTTTCCAGTTATGTTGTTTACCTTTTTCTTATTAATGTTATTGCATGCAAAAAAAGATAATGAAATCTATGCCAACATCATAAAAAGCTTATGATTTTTGCCAAAATCCTATAGATAGAAACCTGAGGGCAATATTTTTTCTCTTGGAGCCTCCGTAGGACTCTTTAAAAGCAATAATCACCTAATGCATGGTATTTTATGATGAAGTTATGAAGTATTACCTACTACTGTATAGCAGTCTAAAAATCAGGTATGTTTTACTTCACCTATAGTCATATACAGAAAAAACTAATATTACAGACATCAGGGAACATGCCAATGTAGTGTTAGAGCAACAAAAATAAAAGTCCTGTCTTTCCTCTCTTGTTATGCACTGCCTGCCTCTTAGTGAGTAGAACTAATGTAGGATGTAGGCTAGAGAGAGGCTGGGATCAGCTGCCTGCTGGGTGTGAGGCCTAATGTAGTATAACTTTAACCCCAACAGAGCTGCGCTAGGCTAACGCTGGCATTAAATAAGCCTAATAATAATAAATAAGAGAAGCCTAATTTTGAATAAGGCGTTCAAAATTTTTACTCTCAAAGGATCATTGGCCATAAATGAAAGTTTAACAGCTTTTTTAGGGTTTTGAGACGTTTAAATGACACCTGTGTTTTGCAGTGATGTAACAACAACTCACCTTCAATAGGAGAACTGTCTAAACTTTGTCCAGATACAAACAAACCAATCTCTTTTGAAAAAAGACTCATGCCAAGCTTAAATTATAGTCAGCATACTTAGTATTTAGCAGCTTTTTGTGTATTTTTAGCAGGAGACCTGAACAAAGTTTGGTGCACTGTTGAAACTGCAGCCTGGTCGACTCTGAATTCAATGCATTATTAAGCTACTCTCCTAGTGCACTTTCAAACCATAAGTGTGCTTTCTTAAACCACAGAAAAAAGCATGCACTTAAGCTGTATGGTCCACTGCAGCTGAACTGTTACAGTCCAATACTCTCTCTACACTAAGTCCCTTTGGATCTGCTGTAGGCCTCATTCAACCCCACTGGACCAACCAGGGGCTAACTTTCTAAGTGATACACCCACAGACAGGCTAACTCTAATCAACCCCAACCCAGAGATGGTTTGACCTTTAACCTAGGCGGCCAATACCAGTGTTGCTGAACCCAGTTCTCTGCAGCTCAGAAACCTTTTCTTCAGATTTACGGGGCTCCCTGAGAGACAGACTGAACACACACGGTCCTGCACAGAATACAGAGGGCTTGTTTGTTTGCCATATGTATCCGTTGTAGCTCTGTTTAGACACAAATGTGCACAAGCGCATGCACACACAAGTGCATAGTATCTGCTGATTAGCTTTTGTGGAGGACACACAAGGAGAATTTTTGTCAAGCTTTCAACAATATAATGGAAACAGGTTTAATATTCAGATGTGAATCTCTGACTATAGAAAATTTTGTAATTACAGAGCTTCCTCAGGCATGACATTACTCAATTAGAGATGGGGTTGACTGAAATCCAACACCATTTAGGGATACAGGGACAAAGAAACTCCTGCACTGACACATAGACCAACTACTTGGTTTCATTTCTATCTCACAGATAAAGTTACAAGACTTGTTGGCATCACAGGCTGTCAGGGGACTTCAGATCTGGCTGTATCCTGGAGTAAAACAGAAGTAGAGGTGTAAGTTTGTACATCTTTAGAAAGAAAGAAAGACTGTCACATTTCCAAGAAAGAGGCAGTATTTGTTGTGAGTGGAGTGTGTGAGTCAGCAAATTGCAGGTCTTATTGGTTCCCCTGATGTGTGAAGATTTGAGCCGCATTTGTTTGAAATGTTTCAGATGATTAGTCATAGAGCTCCAACTTACCGGGGTTTCAGTTTTTGTATTCGTCTTTTTATCTTCGGACTTTAAGCCTCGGCTAAAACACTTACAGCAGCCATGCATACAGAGTAGGTAAAATGTTGACTTAGGTGCTTTTCTACAAATGCAATTCCAAAATAAGAGCACAAGTGTGGCAAAGAGACCAGGGAGAATATGCAGCCAAAAAAGGCATTAGCTTCATCCTCCTTCGCACTGATTCCTGGTATAGATACATCTTTTTATTCCAAACACAGACTGAAAATCTTCAACAGTATTATCACAGTTTTTTCTGTTCAACAAACCGCTTTACATTTTAACCAATCTTAGTAATGAATTGTTTGGTGTAGCGGTAGTTTGCTAGGCTGAGTAGCTATGAGTCAAAAGGCTTCTTGATCAACAGAGAGGACCTAAGTTTGGCGTGCAAATTCAGCGGCACCACATGGCTAACATTTCGTTGAAGTGGACAATAAATTAGTAGTGCTCCACATCATTGGAAACCTCGATTTTCACAAAAATGCCTCACTGGAGCTCCTCAGTCAGCCCCACTTGAGACAAACATTAGAGATTGGCCTGACCTGAATAATGGCAGATGTAAATCTCTATAACAGAGAGCAGGGCCAGATGTATCTGTCAGAGCAGATGAAACAATACACAGATTTGTCGGGTTTCCAGGCTACCTGAGACTATCTCCGGCTGTGGTGACTCCAGCTGTTGTTTACGTGTCACAAACAGTATCACCGCGCATTAAACCCCTTTGCAACTTTGCACTGCAGTCTTCAAGTCCTGAGGGTATTCGGCTGAAGTTGTTCTTGTGTAGCTGTTTGGTGGTTTTGAGGCAGGGGGGGCTGTGTGTATGTTTGAGTCTGTCTCTGGGTGAGCTCTAGGTCTGTTCTCTCGAAGCACTTCCATTCTAGTCATCTCCACCTTAAAGAAAGTAGCACAATGAAACTAACTAGAATTCAGGTAGAGAAGAATTAAAAACCTTGTACTAGCTTGACCTCTCTTCTTTTTTGTATTTCTGAGTTAAAGGATGATGATAACCTAAATAATCATTTATTGCAAAAGGGTTTGTAAGGAATCCTTTGGATTGAGATGTTTTTACTGCTGTATAGCGATATCTGACACACCTTATCTCAGGAGGTTTGGCTCTCTGCTGCAGAGAGAGGATCTCCTGGGGGTTTTTTGAGCCAGAATACAGACAATGTAAGCACAATGAACACAAAGCATTTTGTGGCACTTCATAATAAAGAATAATCTTAACCAACTGAGACTGTTACTTGTAGTTTTGTTTCTTTTCTTTTGCTCTTTTTCTCTCCACTAATCTTACTGATAGTAGGAAGAGTGCTGGATTCCTACGCCGCACACAAGTGGTGAGTAAAACATGTGTTTGTTCAAATTCCTTTTCAGTTCGTTTGACTCCATAATGTCTCTTATGTTTAAGTAGCTTTCACAGCAATTCATGCTAATTAAGTACCTTTAAGCCAGGGTGTAGGGTTCATTTACATAGAATAACACTTATCTCTGGACCATACAGCCTGCACTTTGTGTTAGCTTTGTCAATATTGTATGTGTGAAGAAGGACTGGGCTAACACTGGTGCAGTGTGCTCATTAGCACTCTTCAGGCTGGAAGCTATCTTGCTGTAATGGGCTGCCCGGACGACTAAATACAGCAGTTTGTTAATTCCATGTTTAGGTTTTTAATAGTGGTTAAGTAGGGTACCACTTAAAGCCCCTGAAAACTTTGTTTTAAGTATTTCTCTTCAAGGGTAATAATGCAACATTTACAGCTAAGGTGACTGAGAAGATATCCTCAGGTTTTTTTTCATGAATTTTCACAACTCCACCGTTTATGAAAAGAGGACGGCACCAGGAAGGAGCAGGACACCAACTGTTTAAAGATTTTTATCCAAAGATCCGATATTAACAACCTAATCAACATGTTTGATGGAGTAGTTTATCTTACCTTTATTCACAACTACCATACTGACATACAGACTTGCAGCCCACCACGACTGTGTGTCCTTTCGCTTCTCTTTAGCTTTCTCTTGAATGTTAATGCAGCTAGAAATCGTCTAATTTATTCATCTGTTAGTTAGACGCGATTGGGACGACATCCAGGCCCAATGCTCACAGCTGTTTTACTGCTTTTTAATGCCAAATATAGAACTGAATGTTTCATGTCAGTTGCAATGTGCAATCTGTTTACAGCTTCAAACACTCCTTAACTTGCAACTTGCTCTCTGTGCTCTGTTTACTTGTGAACAAAATACGTTTCCATCACACATTATAAGCGTGTAAAGGAGAAACATGCCACATGCTAATCTGTGGAGTCTGTCATAGAAAACTTTAAAGATTTACACTTGCATAAGATGCTAGTTTGGCTGCTGGCTTCTATGTATCATTTACTAACAAGATAGTCACTTCTTTTGATTTTGTTGTCCACTGGTCTGACAGTTTGGTAAATTTAACAGCTGGCTAAGAAACAGCAGCTCCTCCTGTCTGTGATAATGGTGTTTGCATGCAGTGAATCTGATCTGCAAAGAAAGGAGGACTGAGCACAGACTGTGTGTAATCTGGAGATTTGATATTAATATTATTTCTTAGTCTGGTCAGTTTTAAAGTTTTGTCTAAATACCAAACTAATATTACTATTATTATGTCTTTAAAAATCCCTCATCAGAGTGTTAGACATCAGGAAGTAGCATTACAGATACCAAGATTTCAAGGGAGATTTCAGCGTAAAATCATTTTAGGGTCAAACACACCGTCACTCTGAGTTACGTAAATGTTCTTCCTTGAGCTGCATAACCCCGCTGTAGTCCGTAATGGACTGGCCTGAGGTCTCGCTACAAACAAGCGGCTGCTGGAAGACAGAAGGTGAGTTGTGTTTAGTCTCTTTGCTAAGGAAATTAGGCAAAGTTAAAAAGATGTCCATTTAGTGCTGTTGCTAGGACCCTATATGTACTGTTGATGAAGTTAGGTGCTGTTCTGAGCATTATTTATGGCTATAGAGTGGCGTTTTGGTTGAGGTTTGTTCATGGCTCCTCAGACCGCTGTGTATCGCTATCCTGCGGTCGTTACTAAAGTTGGTATAACTAGAGAAGCAAGCGGTCGGCAACATTCATCTCTCGAGGGGGTGTCTTACTCTAACTGTGTTACGGTGTGTTTGACCCTAAATGAATTTTACGCCGGAATATCCCTTTAATGTCTCGACATACATGAAGTTTTCAGTCGTTTCAGGATGATCATCTCTTTTTCTCTCTCTCATCACATGGATGTTTGTGAAAAAAGAAAATTCAGATCATAGTCTTTTAAAAATAGTGTGGAACAGCTTTTGGCATATTTAAAATACAGTGTGATGTACAGCCAAGTAAAGGGATGATTACAGAGAGGGACCTGGAAAAGTTTTATTCTCTTTATTGCTGAAATTCCTGTGGGCAGGATAAACTCTGTAAAATCTATCAGGTGTGAAGTGTAGCAGGAACATAAAGCAATATTCATGTTGAAAGGAATATTTAAGAGTCAATCGATGCACATTTCATTTTTTAAAACAATGACCACTGGTGCTTTATTCTCATGTTTATGTGCCGATGAAGTATCACAGTTTTGTCCAGATCAGAATCACAATATTCCACTAAGCTTCAGTCATGTGAGCTCTGTGGTTATTGCAGACACTACTGAAAATGACCATTAACCTCCATATTGGTGATGCTGATTTAATTATTGAAAGGTGAATTTCAGCTGGACCTCACCTCAAAGTTATGACACATTTTTTCACATAGGGGATTTTCAGGGCTTCCCTAGAGAGGTGTGATTGCTTTTTTTCAGAGTTTTGAACAATTAAAAGAGCGCCTGCTAAATCTGTAATTATGTTTCCCCCCCTCAGTTACTTTCATTATATTTTTTTATTTTTATTTATTTATTTTCTGCAGTATGATCCCTTGTTACGTCATATTGAGCGTCCTGTACCAAATCCTCTGGCGAAGCTACAGTCCAACCTTTCTGTTCCCTCCTTTTGAGCACAGACGGTCAAAATCTATTGTTGCTATGCCAACACTTGTGGTATCCACGGCAATAAACTATCTCCAGCATCTATAGTAGTAAACTATCTGAACTGCCTCGACAAAGACACAATGCAGCACTCTGCAGCTTTATGAAGTACAGTATATTTCCCCCCTCTAACCAGAAAATTGGTTTCACAGCAGCTGCAAAAAGACAGAAAAGTGAGTGCCCACGCCTGTGAATCACCTTCTCCACCCCCTTCCTGTCTTTATACTTCACCTCTGCTCTTCTCTCTCATCTTTTTACCCCTACACACCCTCTCCTCACCCTTCCTCTCCCCTCCTGTATCCACTCCTCTTCTATTCTTCCACCATCTCCATCATCTCCTTGCTTCCTCCTCTCATCTTCTTCTCCTTTCTTCTTCTCCACCTCCCCTTTCTCCCTCCTGCCAAGTCAAACCAGGCCATCAGGCCTTTGAGGACCTGAAAGTCATTTAACTCCTGCTAGATAATAAGTCTTAGAATATAGCTCCTCTCAGATAATAAGCTTTATCACTTGATTGCTCTGCACGCTCCCTACTGTCTTTAGATTCATGTCCAGGGACCTACTCGAGCGAATCACACTATTTCCTCCCTGGCAAGTCAAATTAACAGACGGTGTTTCTGTGTGTGCATTTCAACTACTTCATTAGAGGGAACAATCGATTGCTGAGGCAGCAAAATAAAATCAAAACAGTGAAAGGTGAGGTTTAAGTGCATGTGTCTGGTAGATGTTCACCATTGTGACATGAACTTCTTGATCATCACACTGACTTCAATAGTGATCTCATCTGGTGGTCCCACAGACTTATCTATTACCTCCTCTTTTAACTTTAGCGCTTCTCTCCTCTGCTTTTCACACCCGCCTCTGTTTCTGCACAGATCTCCTCTGTCGTACCCTCAACTCTAAACCCTAAACATTGCCTTTTTAGAAATATTTCCTCATGCCGGTTGTTACATGTTAGTTCGTTTGGAGAAAGAAAAACATGAAGTTGGAAGAAAACACTGATTGATAACATTTTGCATGCTTATGTCAATGCTAGCAATGTAGTTAACCTGTCTCAAGCTCCACCCATTGTTAAAAAAAAAAAAAAAAAAAATAAGGTCAAAATAACCACCTGGGATGAGCACTGAGGCATTGCTGTGGTGTGACTTAAAACTCTCATGGAGAAACTTTAAACTTTAAAGAAAATAAACTGTCTGGAAAAAAACAGCATAAGAAGAACTAATGCTGCATTCGACTTACCTCGGAAGTCAAAAGTCCAAGCTGAAATAACGTCACACCCGAGTAACCAGCGTTTCATTTACCAAGTTGGAAGAAGTTGGAAGAAACGAAAACAAGATGGCTATATCTACTAAAGTTACTTTAGCGCTTGCCTTGTCCTATTTGGAAAAGTTTGAAAAACGCAAAATCGGAGGCGGAAACGATCTACATCCACGAAAATTTGCTCAAATAACTTTTGTAGATTTAGCCATCTTATTTCAGCCTCCGATTTTACTTTTTTTCCGACTTGGCACTTGTAACTTGGATGTGATGTCATTCCCAGTTCGGACCTCTGACTTCCGGGGTAAATCAAATGCAGCATTACTATCCAGACAGAAAGAATACTTTAGAATAATTTAATGACATGTTTGCTTGTATACATTTTGTCTTTTTAAGTTTGACCTTTGTCACCCTGGTATTGACCCAAAACTACAACTAATCACCAGGGAGATTGGACAAAAATGACACTGTGCCAGCACTAAAAGGGTGTTGTTTCTGCCACACTATTACTTATCTCAAATTAGACGGTTCCTTGAGACGCTATTGGGTTTAAGGCAGTATAACACACTGATGCTGATACTGATACTGATACTGGTATCTGAATACATACAATTCTAGATTAAGGACACTTTTAAATTAAAAAAAACAAAAAGTATGTCTCCATACTTAACAGAGGTAAGATTTTAAACTTATTTCTAAGATGATTAGACATCTTTTTTAATTCTGTGTGCAGCTCTGAGGTGATGCTCCATATATTGAGATTGTTTCTGATAATGTGAGAGCCTGTACAGCCTGAATTTTTCAGTCTTATCTGAAAATTGACTAAAAAAAAGATCTATAATATAATCTCAAGGCTACAGGAAAGTTTATGAGAAGTTTGGTGATGTAACATGCTGCTCTAAGTAAAATCTCCTCTTGAACATTTTTGCTGACTCATGCAAAAGGACAGGGAGCTGTAGTGAGAT